CAAAATATATTTAAATCATTCTGTGATCGCATTTTGAGGTTTTTTTTTTCAATGTTGTCATATTTTTGCTCTTCCTTCAAATATTTTTTTCAATTTGTATAGAATTTTATATGCTCTGCTATTTTTCTTGATTATTTAACAAATTAATAGCGCAAGACGGTTTATAAATTCGAATTCAATGACCTAAAATCTATAAGAAACAATTACTCTGGTTTTAGTTGATTAAAAAAATTTGTTTTATGATTCTACGTTATCTTCCACTTATGCCTTTTATGCTTGTCTTTGAATCCTTTTATTTTGGATTATTTATACTTTGTAAAAACAAGTTTTATCTTAAAACTTATATTTTGAATTTTCTTGATTTTTCTCATTCATCTTGAATAATCGATAATATACCACTTTTGTTTTTTTTAACCCACACCATCGTTTATGTTTATTCTACAATGTGCTTTTTGTTTTTTGTTTCTTAATTTTCTCTTTTAGCGACCGACAATTTTATGTCTCGCCATGTATTTCTTCCGTAGTTCGTTAACTTTTATCTCATACAATAGAAAACGAAAAATGATATAAGAAGAAAAAAAGCAGTAAAAAATAACAAGAAACAAAATACAAAAAGCATATTGTAGAATAAGCTTTATTTTTTCCAATTATATTTTTTTTTATTGATGAACTCTCTGAAGTGATTGTAACACCGATGCAATAAGTTGAAGTAAGAAATAAGCTATAGGTATGTTCCTTTTAGCTGCATGTCTTGCACAGTTCATATCTTCTCTTTTCCTCTCTAATAGTAAAGAAAAGGAGGAAAGATGAATCGTGCAAGAAATTTAGTTAAAAAGAATAGACCTTATATTTGTTTTATTTCAACTTATTGTATTATATGCACCAATTCAGAAAATTTTTTCATAAAACAGGCTTATAATACTATCACTGATCACTGATATATCAGTGATTTCAATCTCCAACACTATAATTTGTAAAACTAGTATATGAAAAAGAACTTCATATTGTGCAAACATCATGTCTTATTTAATCCGAGAATAGTCTTATTGCTTTTACATTCTAATTAAAAATTGCTATTATTCAATATGTATTGCATATTAATGATTATTCTACACGATTTGTTTACATAAGATCATTAGATATAGATTTACTCAAATTTTTTTTAATAAAGAGAAAAAAGAATTAGTTATTAAAGATAAAACATAAAAATTGAGCTCTCGAGATGAAAATAACATATAATAATTGGGAATAATTCACTTGCATACTGTTGCAATTATCCACTGCCAATCACAGCAACTTCTGCAGGAAGGTCTTTTTATTTTTTTTTCTAGCACTCTGTGATTGGCTTGTGCGCAATTAACTCATGTATACACCCATAATTGATATACACCCATAATAATTAGTTAATTAATGGGCGAATGAGAGCAATAACAGAAGTCACGATAATTAATAGGTATGAATTCTAGATTAGTAAAGAAAACTAACACTGAACTTTATTTTCTCGTTGTTGGAATGTAAAATCACCTCAGTTAACTATAATATTTTCGAGTTAAACATAAAATCCATAATCACATATTCATCACTTATTCATATCTATGTTATGTAAATATGAATTCATCAAAATTATAACAAATTTAATCATTTTAACTGTAATATAACACGTGTGTTTAACTGTAATATAATACATGTGTTATATTACAGTTATATTGTTGAGTGGGAAATTACAATTAACGTGTACGTTACATATAATTTGGTGTTTACTGACAATAGACTATTATTCTATATATGTATATCTATATATTAAAAGTCTTGAAGTATGATCGAATTGTGAGGATAGTTATTTGACTTAGCGACAAATCTCTTAATAACTTTCTTTTTTGTAATTTATGAGATAGATGTTCCTGATTGTTAAGTCTATTTTTTTTTATGAATAATTGTATATCATTGTAATATTATTAAAAGATAGTTATAGGAAAATCGTCCTTCAATGTGTATAATTTAATAATATAAGAATAACCTCATACTTATGCAATCTCTTCCACAATCGATTTTCTGGATGTATCCGTATATTATATAAAGAGTACAATGAAAAACATACGTTACAATATTTGAAGTCCGAATTTACTTTGAACTCGTCTAATATTATATTTTGCTCTGAAAAATCTTTGCCAATCCCTCTTTTATTCTAAAATAATGTGTTTCTGCAACTTTATTTATAGCCTGTTAGTGAATGTCTCTATAGAAGTAGGTGAAATAGTAGAAAATAACAATATTTCACATCGCTGTGCATTTAATTCTTTCTATAATTAGAATTCTTAAAAGTTACATTATTTTTATTCTAATTAATACAATATTAATTAGTACTTTACATGTATATGGTACTAATTTTATATATATATATATATATATATATAATGTACATACAT